GATAATTGCCTTTGCATAAACAGCTGTAGGTATTTCTCGCTTACTCTTTGAAACAATCTTGACCCCCGGTCAGTAAACCCCCCACAATCTTCCAGGACACTCCAGTTCTGATGTAAGACACTGTAAACCAATAAACATGTATAAAATAAATGGGCCAATAGACTAGATAACAACTAAGCTGCGCTTGCAAAAAAGTCACGTCAGTAAAACGGTTACCAACGCCAAAACCCTGAGCTGACAACCTTGGCCTTGCTCGCAGGTCATGACCCTATATGGATACAACATTTCAAGTTTTAGGTGGTATACTCCGGCTAAACTTGAGTAAAGTGGAGGGTGTGGGGGGAAGGGGGCGGGGTGAATTGGATTGGCCATATACAGGATTTAAAAAAGCAACAACATTGGCAGCCTTATTTTCGTCCTTATCAGCATAGGACAGCAGTGGTTACAGCAGCAGTGGTAGTAGTAGTAGTGGTAATGACAGTAGTTGTAGTTGCGGTGGTGGTGGTGGTAGGAGGAGGAGGAGGGAGTGGAGAAGGATGTCATGAAGAAGAACAAACGAACCAACCAGCTTTATTTTCAAAGGGTCACAAACTGGGCACGCAGGCCCGCCTTACATTTAGCCCTTCCAAACATCAATCTTTCACACAGCAGTTGAATTGACAAGAATACCAAGATCAAGAAAAAAATAAAATAAAAGTGTGTGGTGAAGATAAGATCTTGGGTAAAAGTAACGTTGGTCTTCCCACGCCACGCCCATATACACACTAGCTCACTTCTGATTAGTAGTTTCTAAACCTGTCACCTTGGCACAAGGTTACGGGGGTGCTCCGCAATGCCGATGGTATTGCGTATTGTATATTTCAGCATACCAGCGCCTTTAACACTCCAAAAACAGGGACAAACTGGTCTAATCAGAACCCACCTCCCACCCACCCCTCCAGAGAGTGCTGCAACCTATGTCACATGCATTCTTTTTCTCGGAATTAAAGCGCAAATGCAAGACATCGCGGAAACCAAACAACGGTTACACACCCGTAACCTTTAGGAAAGTCGACCAGCCCAACAAACTTGTGAATAAAATGTGACCTGCTATTTGGGCCGACTTACGTCGAACCTAACCAAATCTTGTACTTTTATAGACCAAATCTTGTACTTTCATAGTTGTATCATGTTACCATTTGCTGGTGTGGCGGGGACGGGTGCCGTATGTACAACTTTTTTGGAGGCTAAACGGGGTATCTGGAATCTGCCTTGTTGGTCTGTCGTCCAGACTGAGACTTATTTAATATCAGGATGGTAAACCGTTAGGTAGCCACCTGGAGGAGACACACTGATCGATCGATTAAAAGTAGCAGCAGCAAATGCACAGACAGTAACGCTGTGGCTAGACATCTACCGATGAAAGGTTTGAATGTTGAGTGTTGAAAGTGGAATTAAGAATCGACATCACAGCACTTGGGACACCCCCATAAGCACTCCGTTCCCATCTTCAGCAGCAAACGAAGAGTTGCAATTCAGACGGCATCAGTAACTGTCTGATTGTATAGACGTCTTGCCCTTCCCCTGAGCGTTGAGTGTCGTCAAGATCCCCTGGTAACTCCGTAACCGTAATAATGTATTGGTGCCTCTGCACTGTTCACTCGCCCCTGGATTTGAATGTGCATCCATTAATATTTGATAAATGACTTTGGCTCCCTGGCATTACCAGCCCAAGATGGGTACAATGACAAGAACACCTTCTGTGCGGAACGTACGGTTAGCTTTTTGTTGACCGTTCCTTACGCCGAGGAGACTTTATCGACAAAACTATCCGTTTAGGGATATCAGTGGAACACTTCGAGATCCTAGTGTTGACCATACCAGATGCTGAGGTTGTTTTATTGACCAAACCAGCAGTAATAGTAGTAGTAGCAGCAGTAGTAGGAGCAGCAGCAGTAGTAGAAGCAGCAGCAGTAGTAGTAGAAGCAGTAAGAGAGGCAGTAGTATTAGCAGCAGCAGTGGTAGTAGTAGTAGTAGTAGTAGTAGTAGTAGTATAGTAGTAGTAGTAGTAGTAGTAGTAGTAGTAGTAGCAGTAGTAATAGCAGCAGCAGTAGTAGCAACAGCAGTAGGACAGATATTAAAATGTGTAACAAAAACGTAAAAAAGTATCCCCCCCCCCCCCCCTCCCCCACCCAGGTCTTCAAAAACACCTACACTTACGCGCAAGCAAACGCTTATAGGCAAACCTGGAGAAAATTGGATCGGCTGCTATTGTTAGAAGAAACTGGTTCCCTGATTTCGAAAGCTTGTTGTTGTTCCCTTCTTACTGGCTTGTTGATAGCCAAAGTTCATTCTTTCACCTACCACCTTGACCCAGAAGGTGTACCCTATTTTTGAAGTGACGAATGATATGTCAAGAAATGTTGACACGCCTTCTGTGTTGGCCAATCAAATGGGCTCTAGCAACCCACACCCTTAGAGCTGAATGGAGCTGAAATAGGTTGAAATGCGTATATACGACTTCTTTATAGTTATTTTCTCCCCCTCCTCTTTTTTTTCTAATCCTCTTCCTTTTTATCTTTCTTATTCTCAGCCACCATCAAATCTTACCCATGCCCCTCCTGCTGCTCATGCTGCTGCTGTTGCCCCACCTCCTCCTCCTCCTCCTCTTGCTTCTTCTTCTTCTTCTTCTTCTTCTTCTTCTTCTTCTTCTTCTTCTTCTTCTTCTTCTTCTTCTTCTTCTTCTTCTTCTTCTTCTTCTTCTTCTTCTTCTTCTTCTTCTTCTTCTTCTTCTTCTTCTTCTCCTCATCTTTTCAATTTACTTGGCCTACATTTACCCTTAAAAGTTAGGTTGGCAGGTTGTGATTTACAGCTAGGCTGCGATATGTGCACTTTTTAACCCAATACGGTATGTATTATTATTGTCATTAATTTTTATATTTTATAATAGTCCATTAACTGAGAAAAGTTCTAAAGGACCGCATCCAATTCGTTTTGATCTAACTCTCAAACCACAAGCGTTTGGTATAGAAGTGATAAATTAGAGATATAGATGGCAGTTCAGGAAGAAAGTCACCTGATGAACTAGCCACACAGGCAAGAGAACATAATCATTACGACAGAGCAAAATATGATACCTAGGAAAGTATATAAGAAACAGGAATACATCACAGAAGAAACGTTGAGGTTGACCGAAGAGAAGAAAATTTAAGCAAACAAGAACTGAAACCACAACACAGTATACAAAACCACATGAAGAAAGTGAGAAATGCAATCAGAGAAGACAAGAGGCGACTTGTAATCAAGACATGCAACAAAATAGAGCATCTCCAGCAACAGAAAGGGGATAGAGAAACGTTCAAATATATTAGAACAGTAACAACAAAATTTCAACCTTTATTGAATGTAATAAACGATTAAAACAAAACAAAACATAACAACACCTTGACGTAGAGCAAAGAAATACTAGAAAGATGGAAGGAGTATTGTGGAGAAATGTACAAAGATTCAAAAAACATGCCAGACAGTGCCAAAGAAATCGAAGAGAAGGAGCCGAACGTTTATTAGTGGTAGTAAGAATAGAAAAAAAAAAAAAAAAACCTGAAATCAGGCAAATCTCCGGGATGTGACGACATATCAGCAGAGTTAATTCAGGCAGGAGGAGAGGCCAGCGTTATTCTATACCATGCATTATGTGTGAAAATATGGAACAGTGCTGACTGGCCCAAAGCGTGGAAAAGATCAGTTTATATTCCCCTCCCACTAGTAAATTAGTTAGAGTTAAAATTTTGAAATCATGCATTTTTCCTGTGGCAACTTACGGTCACTCAATCACTGAAGAAAAACATTGGAGCTTGTGAATTGAAATGCTACAGAAGAGGACAAACATTTAACTTTCTACATTAATTTAACATCAAGAAGAACAGCATTCTGTCCCGAAGGTTAAAGTATTTTGGCAAAATCCAGCGTCGTGGTGGCTTGGAAAAGACGGTGTTGGGGGTGCAGACTGTGGACGGGGTAAAATTTACACTGGTCTTCCCATTTGCACATCGCTACACGCTAGCTCGCTTCTGATTGGACGACCTACTGACCACCTCACTGCTGATAGGTCGGCCTCGAGCGATCCGATTTTAACACAAGGTGACAGGGATATTCCGCGCTCGCGCTCATTTCGCGTGTTGTATATTTCACCATGCCAGAGCTTTTAAGACTTCAAAAATATTTAGATACTGTGTCTAAGTCTAAAACACAATTCCCCCCCCCCCCCCCCCCCACACAGAAAACTTTGTCATATGCCGTCTCTTTCTCGGAAATAAAAACGTAAATACCAGACAACAACAGACTGCGACACCCATAACCTCGACCCCGGTAGACTGGTCCAACCAACTTATCAATGGAGTTGACCTACAACTGGTGGTGTGCAAATGGGGAGACCATCGTATAAATAAACGTGGAAGGCGAGGCAGGGGTCGACCACCGCGAAGATGGATGCAGGACATTGAAGATGCATTGGCATTGAAAGCACATAGGGCCACATAGCTGGCTAGGGAAAGGAATACTTACAATGCCTGCTGTGAAGAGAGTGGACTTGTTGCTTGATGATGATTTAAAAAAAAACACTAACTTATCTTCAAAATAATAATTAATTCACACAAAAAAGTATTGCAAAATATAATTGCAACTAGGTTTAATTTGTGGTATAAACCAACTGGACAAATAGTGAACACATACCGTCCCCTCGTAGTTGCACAAAAACGGGGAATTTCTATTGACCTGAATGGCTGGCCTTATAAAAAAAAAATATAATGGGGTCATGTATACAAATGCGGTGTGGTGAGTTTAATATTATTGTAGCGCAAATGGTAATGTACTGAAACATTCATATTTCAATTCGCGGAGTAGTTCATATATCGTAGAATCTGTAACCATATAACTCAAACAAAACATTTAACGCATACATTTTTTGAAGAGTGTGGCACACGTTTAATTATGTTTAAAAAAAAAAAATCGACTTTATCCAGGTATACCCGAAACTTGGTGGATGAGGGCAACGGCAAATTTAACCTCATGCTTTTGTGTTGGAATGAAGGTCAGGGCAGCAGCATCCACTCCCACGCCAACTCTCACTGTTTTCTGAAGGTAAGATGTCGCATCTTTCCAATAATGTGTAACGTATACTGTATGAGTTGAGTTGACATTCGACATTATAGCAATTGGAGCATTCACATAAGTGCTCCGTCTAATCCTCAGCAGCCAGTGCAAGAGTTCCATTTTCAATGGTGCCAGTAGCAGTGTTATTGTGTGTCCCTATTGTCTTTCCCCTGGGTGTTGAGTGTCGGGCAGATCCTATGGGCACTTCCCGCTGTATCATTCTCTCTTCAGACCATGATCTGTTAGTGCCGCCCCATCCTTTGCTGAAACGTCCATCTCACCGCATGCCCCCGTGCCTGTGTGATCTGCCTTTATGACTTTATCTCTGTGGAATCCGTGGTTAAAACATTATAATTATATTGTTCTCAGATTTTCCTAACGTATGCCCTTTCTATCTTCAGCGTTTATCTTTTCATTACATTTTTATTCATTAGAATGTGTCTAGTTGTAGTAGATTATTACCCCATTAGGACATCACAAGCAACATGGAATTCACCAGACCACAAGACAACTAATCAAAATGACCATCTGTGTATTAACAAAAAGTTTAGATCATCCCTTTACGATGTTAGGGCTTTCAGAGGTGCCGATGTATTTACTGACCATTTCCTGGTGGTAAGTAAAATCAAGTTGAAACTAAAAATATATATAATATCTTAAAATCATAGAAACCAATATAATGTAGGCTTTCTCAGGGATAAAGAAGTTAAGGAACAGTTTTCAGTTACAGTCTCTAATAAGTATCAGGTGTTGCAGCAGTTAGCTGAAGATGTCAGCACAGAAGTCTGCTGGGATCAGATCAAAGGAATTTTGAATGAATCTTGCGTAGAAGTTCTTGGCAAGAAAGAAAGGAAACATAAAGCGTGGACAACTCCAGAAACCATTAAACTGATTGAAGATAGGAAAAGTAAAAAGGCAGACTTAAACAGTAGCAAAACTAGAGCTGCTAAAGCTAGAGCTCAGGATAAATACACAGACGCCAATAAGGAAGTTAAGAGGCGCATAAGGGCAGATAAAGTGAAATATCTTAATGATCTAGCACAAGAAGCGGAGACAGCAGCAGCGAAAGGAAACCTCAGATAACTTTATAGTAACACAAGAAAATTAGTAGGTAAATATAGTCAGCCAACTGGATCAATCAAAAATATTCAAGGAAAGGTACTTACTAACATTACAGATCAAATGGACAGATGGTTTAAATATTTTGAAATGCTTCTAAATAGACCAGGTCCAGAGGTTCCCCCAGATATCCAGCCTTTAGAAATGGAACTGGATATCAACTGTGAGATACCATCCAAAGAGGAAATTAGTAAAGCTATCAATCTTCTCAAGAAAGGAAAGGCGGCAGGCCCAGTGTGAAGCCATCAGGGCCAACATAAACACATCAACAGAGTTGCTACATAGATTATTCAGTAAAGTCTGGGAGACCAAAGAAATACCAGCAGACTGGAGAGAAGGATATCTTGTGAAACTGCCCAAAAAAGATGATCTACAGGAGTGTGAAAACTATAGAGGAATTATGTTGCTGTCACTTCCTAGAAAAATATTAAGTATAATTATTTTGGAAAGATTAAAAGATGCTATTGATAAAAAGCTAAGAGATGAACAGGCAGGTTTTCGGTCAAACAGATCCTGTACTGACCAGATAGCCACATTACGTATTATAATAGAGCAAAGCATTGAACTTAACTCACCACTTTACATTGGATTTATAGACTATGAAAAAGCATTTGACAGCATTGATAGGGAATCTCTCTGGAAATTGATGGGGCACTATGGAATCCCACGGAAAATTATAAACTTAGTAATGGCAACATATAAAGACATGAAATGTCGAGTTCTTCATGAGGGAAAGCTAACTGATACATTTGAAATAAAAACAGGTGTGCGACAGGGATGTCTTTTGTCGCCTCTCTTATTTTTACTGGCTATAGACTGGATTATGAAAACAGTAACTGCTAACACCAAGAATGGAATTCAGTGGACTCCTACAGAACAGCTTGATGATCTGGACTTCGCTGATGATATTGCTCTTCTGTCCCATTCATGGAATCAGATGCAAGATAAATTAAATATACTTGAGGCGAGATCACAGCAGCTGGGTCTGAAAATCCATAAAGGAAAGACAAAGATAATGAGAATAAATCAGGCAGATAGTAATAAGGTTTCTCTTAATGGCACCCTACTACAAGATTTGGAGTCGTACACTATTTTTGGACAGTAATGTAGATAAGCATGGAGGAACTGATAGAGATATTAAAATAAGAATACAAAAGGCAAGAGGAGCTTTCATAGCACTTGGGAATTTCTGGAGGTTAAAAGAAATACTAAACTAAAATTTTTTAATTATATTATCAAATCAGTACTTTTGTATAGGGCGGAAACATGGAGAACATCTAAGGCAATTACTAATAAACTACAAACATTCATTAACTGGCACCTGCGCAGAATAGAGGGAATTAAATGGTATGATATAATAACTAATGTAGAGCTTTGAGAGAGAACTAAACAGGCTCCAGTAGACCAAGAGGTGAAGAAAAGACGCTGGTGGTGAATAGGACACACACTGAGAAAACATGAGAACAGCATAACTAGAATGTCTTTGCATTGGAACCCACAGGGGCATAGAAATAAAGGAAGGCCAAAAAAAAAAAAAAAAAACACATGGAGAAGAGAGCTGGAGAATAAAGTTATAAAGATAGGGAGGACATGGGGAGAGCTCCATGCAATGGCGAAGGATAGAACGACTTGGCGTGAGTTGGTTGAGGGCCTATGCTCCATTGGGGGATAGAAAGGCAAAAGAAGAAGGACATCACACAAGCGATAAACACCCGATGAAAGAAAGTGCCACCATTCGGGAGAGGTCCCAGAAACCGCGTTCAGCCTTTAGACCATATTTATGGTCGGGCTATATTGCGGCCCTTGGCAAGAGCCAGAGTAGGGCTTCAAATAACAAAAAATTTCATCTGACAAGGTGACTGGATGTATAGGAAGAATGTGTCTAGTTCTCTCCTGAAGCTTCACATTAGTGATTCTGTCATGTAACTATGGGTTTTAGAGCAGTCATATGTCTTTTAATGTGAGTTCCCGTGTAATACCTTTTTTTTTTAAATAGTAAACGTGTGTTTCTTTATGGCAGGTCCTCAGTGGCAGCGTCAAGGAAGAGCTGTTCGAGTGGCCAACTGGTAAACCTTCCGACGTTGTCAACGCCAACTCGGAGACTGATGGAAAAGCCATGAAAAAATGGGCAGAGAACACATACCCACAAAATCAGTGTACATACATTAATGGTAAGCAGTCGCCTCCCTTGTTTATGATTGAGTAAGCAAAATGGGGGTCAATCCATCTTTTTCTTTATCACCGAAACAGATCATAGGCCTTAAACCAGTTCAAGCCAAGTGGTTCTTTAATCGTCCCCGTTTACTTCAATCTCTAATACCATCTCCTGTCTGAGTGGTCTCCCCCAACCGTCTATTTGTATTTCTTTGATCCCCTGTGAGTTTCAGTGTCAGAATAATTATGTTGTTATCACAGTGTATCAGTATGTGACCTATTCATCACCATTTTCTTTTCCTCGCCTCTCCGTTCACTATACACGTGTGTATATGTGTGTAATAAATGTATATATTGGTGATTTTGACAGATCGTGTCATATCTTCCTTTCGCACCAATCAATGAATGTCTGTAGTTTATTATTTTATGTTTTAGCTGTCCACTTTCAGCACCTTCTTCATCCTCTTATTTTCTCTACTGCTGGAATGCCTGACAGCATAAGGGCATAAAGAAATCTCTGGAGCTGACCTTGTTGTTCGCTTCGTATATATCACTCCACAATGTCTCTGATATTTCTGTGTGGTTGACCCCTGCCTCTATTACAGTGGTATCTGCAACGGTAACAGAGACAGTAGTCGACCACAGAGAAGATGGACCGCTGAAATATCACTTTTAGCTCCACAGACAATTATCGTCAGTGATCAGTTCAACACAGATGCAACAATGTGTGTTTTCAGACAAGTATGGTCGTAACTGGTCACCGCATAGGTACATTTTCATAAAGTGGGAACGGGGGAAAACAGTTTTACAATCCTGGCCATTTCTGGAACTTGAACTCTGATCTTTTTCTTGGTGGGTAAGGGAACTAAGGTCTGCACGATGTTCCTATAATAGGGAAACAACGCCAGCATCATGGCAAGGTTGTCAGATTTCTTAAACAACCGTCTGTTTTCTGCTTCTTAAAAAGTTAAATTTTGCAGCCACGCTGTAAAACTGACACACATTGTATCAACCCTAAGCTTAAGTACGAAAGAAGGAAGAAGAAGAAGGGAAAAAGACGGGCAGGAGGATAAGGAAGAAGCAGAATAAGGAGAAACGAAGAAGAAGGACATCCAGCAACCCAAACCCTATCTTCATAACACATCTTCCTGGTCGCTGGAACTCGTGGCGCAGTAGTCAAGCATTTTGCCTCGCGGTCTGAAGGTCGTGGGTGCGTTTTCACGGACACATCCTTCAGTTAACGAGTGGCAATAATTTACCCTGATTCGTAAGGATCGTGCATCAGGAGCTTCGAAGTTCTGCCTTGTGCCGACAATTCTCTGTAGCCGTTTCTCCCTGGAAGCACTGCCTCGTAGTACATTCTCTGGAAAGTGATATTCGATCCTCACGACTTAACCTTTGATTGTGTTGAAACTTTGTGTGTTTATGTTGCAGACAACATTGGCCTCACCGTGTTAGAAAACACCAGCCACTCGGAAAAAGCAGTGACCCTTCACCTTCACACGTATGTTGGATCTCATGTGAAGGTTCTTGTCCTCTGTTGGTTTTTGATGAGTATCCTATGGCAGTCTCAGGTTTCATTCTTAGATCTGGTGCAAAAGGTCTGTCAGACTTTCTGAACTACGACAGGGGTGTTATCAGGGGGATTGTATCATGAATGGGAGTTTGGGGGAGGAGGGAGGGGCGTTGAAAAGAGGTGGAATGAGCTAGGTAACTTTACTATGGCCCTCCCTCCCCCACACGCAAAACTAAGAAAACAAATTTGTTAGTGTACCACGTACAATTGGCCAGGAGAGTAGGCAGTTCGCTCTACCCATTGCATACAGATTCTCTTGAGTGTCTGTTTTATAAATTGCTTTCATTTCAAAATTAATTTAATTATAATTATTTGCCATTCAATACATCATCATCATCTCTCTCCTCGTTATTACATTAACCCCCTTAAACAAGGGCGTTTGTTTCGTGTCTTCGTTAAGGGACTTCCAACCCCCCCCCCCCTTTTTGATTTATCCAAGAAATCTAGCCAGTTCTTAACTTATTACCATCATCATTTAGCAGGGGGAAAACCCTTAACAGAACGTCTCTTCCCATCACAGTCTGCCCTGAAAAGAACTCTTGTTACGTCTCCAGCTCTCCCGTTTCACACTTTCATAGCCAAGGAGTCCATATCCTGTGCCTACCTTTCATCTTGGTCGACCAATGTCCGCTCCCCTTACAAAAAAAAGCTGGTCCTCATAGCATTCTGTTTATTACTTGTTCCAATCCACCATTGCGCTTGAATATGCGTCAAAATCTTTCTTCATACCTGAAACAAAATTTGAGGCTGTTTAAGAAATTCAAGGCTCTCTGTTCCGGAATTTCAAATGTTTGTTCCCCCCTCCCCTAAAGAAATCTTCTACAACATACACAATTGCTCCCAGAAGGGAGGTATTTGAGAACTGAGGTTCGTGCTGTCGGAACACGTCGTAACAATAATATTAACAGTCGTTTGGAAAAGGTGTGAAACTGTTCATGTTCTCAGGCATTTTTTTCTCTCTCATGAAATGCGATCTCAGCATATAAGCCTTGCGAAGGCTTATGCTTCACTTGGAAATAGAAGCTAGGGAGAAGAATGATGTGGTAAAGACAAAGAAATGACTATAAGAATAAGTAGTTGGAAAAAAGAAGAAGATAAGGAATAAGAACACACACATAAAAAGAAGCAGCAGCAGTGGCAGAAGAAGAAGAAGAAGAAGAAGAAGAAGAAGAAGAAGAAGAAAAGAAGAAGAAATGAAGAGAGAAGAAAGGAAGAAGAAAGAAGAAGAAGAAGAGAAGAAGAAGAAGAAGAAGAGAAGAAGAAGAAGAAGAAGAAGGAAAGAAGAAGAAGAAGAAGAGGAAGAAGAAGAGCAAGATGAGGAGAGAAGAAGAAGATAAGAAGAAGAAGAAGAAGAAGAAGAAGAAAGAAGAAGAAGAAGAAGAAGAAGAAGAAGAAGAAATGATAGAGAAGAAGAGAAGAAGAAGAAAGAAGATGATGAAGAAGAAATTGAAGAAGAAGAAGAGAAGAAGAAGAAAGAAGAAGAAGAAAAAAAGCAAAAGAAAGCAAGAAAAGAAGAAGAAGAAGAAGGAAAGAGAAGAAGAAGAGAAGAAGAAGAAGAGAAGAAGAAGAAGAAGAAGGAAGAAGAAAGAAGAAGAAGAAGAAGAAGAAGAAGAAGAAGAAGACGAAGAAGAAGAGAAGAAGAAGGAAGAGGAGGATGGGAGAAGAGTAGAGAACACGAGGAGATCGTGGGGAAGACGAGGTGAAAATGATTATGATAATAGTGACCATAACGGGAGAGGATGAGGAGGAGGAAGTGAAAAAGAGGGAAAATAATAATAATATTAACATAGAAAAAGTATTTAAGGAAGAAAGAGGAGGAGGAGAAGGAATAGGACGATGAGATGGATGAAAACGAAAAGAAAAAGAGAGCAAAGAAAATACAGTTCCAAAACCAATCAGCTGAACAACAGTTTTCTGTCTTTCCCCGTCCACAGTCCTCCATTCGACGAGTGTCAATGCTTTGACGAGAGAACCGGACGTGCGGTCACCGCCAAGGTCACATTTTGGTCCAAGTATGGCAGAAGAACTCCATTTGTAAGTGATTTGTGTGTTCTTCCAGTGGCTTTATCTTCTTCTTCTTTTCTTCCACCTTGTATCTCATCGAAATGTCGGGGGGAGATGTAATGTACGTTGATGAGCTCTGCCAAGAGCACTATTAAGACTGGTGTTCATTTCTGTAAAGCTATTCTAAATGCCATCACACCATCATTTCCGAGGTCTTCCACTCGCTCTATACCAATTGTAACGTTTAAGTGTGGCTCGCTGTGGCAGATAGTACCAGGGCATTCTTGTTAGGCGTCCAAACCACTTCATTTGTTGTTCTTTGATGACCTGTAAGACTGGTTTTATTCCTAGCATTCGTCTGATTTCATGATTTCGTATTCTGTCTTTCCTTGAAACTCCTGCAACTCTTATAAGGCATTTCATCTCTGTTGTCACAATTTTACGTTAATTGGAGGATGTAAGTGTCCACATTTCGCATTGATAGCATAGTGTTGGCCAAAAAATAGTTCTGATAAGATTCACTTTAGTACTCCGAGGTATCTGCTTCTGTGTCAACAGGGGAGATAGTTGCCCCATTACTTGATTGGCTTTGGCACATCTGGAGCTAATTTCTCTGTCCAGTTTTCCGTCGGATGTGAAAATTATTCCTATTTACTTAAATCCCTCTGTTTGTCTCAGGGTGTTATTTTTTAATTGTATTTCTAAATTGTCTTTATGTCTTCCTATCATCACTGTCTCTGTCTTCGTAGTGTTTATTCTCATATTATATTCCTCCCCTTGGTTACTAATTTGATTTAGGTGGTTAAAGATGATTAAAGTTCGTTTCCCTACATATGGTATCCATGTATGTTATAAAAACAAGCGGCGATAGTACACAGCACACTGTGGCTTTATCGTATGTAAAATATTACTTAAGCGCCTGTAAAAACTGTCCCACAACCATGTAAAGTGTTTATTATAAACATTACTTGGTCAATGTCGTACAAAGGTCCTAATACCATCACAATTACATCCTTAAACAAGGCCTTGTCTCTTGTCTCCTTGGGGATTCTTCCCACATTATCATCATTATCATCATCATCATCACAATTACCCCCTTAAACAAGGCGTTGTCTCTTGTCTCCTTGAGGATTTTTCCCATATCATCATCATCATCCTCCTCATCATCATCATCACAATTACCACCTTAAACAAGGCTTTGCCTCTTGAATCCTTGAGGATTCTTCCCACCCTTTCTTCTTCTTACTACAGAAGATCCATAACAAATAAATGTTAATCACAAATAATAATAGTAATAATAATAATAATAATGCATCAGATAGAATAAAGGGAAGGAAACTTTCCACGCTAGTGTCGCACTGGTGCATGCAAGACTCGTGCGATTATATTCCAGCGGATATATGCTAGAGATAGGTGCACATTTTCTAGTGCCCATTTTGATGGGTTAATGTTATTAATGACTGCTTCATAATTCCATATTTTATCATTCGACTCAGCTGCAGGCAATTTGATAGCACAGCGCTTAGATTTATTAGGACAGTGGTATAGAGATCGACAAAGAGTAAGCCCTGGCTCCCTGTGAGGGTTCCTTACCTCCATTGTGGGGAAAACAAGAATAAACCCACTGCCTGCCCAAAAGATTGTCGTAACAGTGGTCTATTTTGAAGCTTCCTTCTTAGTGGGAAATTATCTGTCTGAGAGGCAAGGAATCAACAGTCTGCATGTAGACAATTAGATCTGTCAAACTGATGAGCACACAACACTCAGTTTCTGGAACAGGACTAGAATTCAGAAATGGCTGAACAATCAGAAAATTTCTCCAGGGTTTACAGTCGGTGGACGCCAAGAAGAAGAAGAAGTAAGCAAAGGCAAACAACTAAACGTAAAAATGTCTTGTAAAAAACATTGGTAGGGTTGGTTCTTCAATGTCCTGAAAAGAATACACAGCTTACTATACACATTGATATTTTAACAGTTTGTGTCCCCTAATGTTACTATTTTAAGCTCTTCGGATCTAAACCTTAGCTGCTGTACGCTAATTAATGTGGAAAGTGTTTACAGGATGGTATTGACAACATCAACTCCTTTGTCGGTTCTGGGCCTCTGGTGGAGCTTACACCTCCCCTATCAAGCATGTCGTAAGTGGCGACTAATTAGGGGTTTGCTAAAATGGGATGTGTTGGGTGGAAAAGTTTAGATATGGCCTCAAAGTTGTAAACGTCCACACAAAGTGCCAACCACCCTTTAAAGGGCGAAAACAGCAGCAGCAGAAGAAAAAGAAAAAGATAAGAAGCAGCAGCAGCAACAGCAGAACAAGAAGAAGAAGAAGAACGAACGAACTTTATTTTCAAAGGGTTACAAATTAGGCATGCAGGCCCGTCTGATATTCGGCCCTTCTAAGCACTTTTAATTATGAAGAAGAAGAAGAAGAAGAAGAAGAAGAAGAAGAAGAAGAAGAGAAGAAGAAGAAGAAGAAGAAGAAGAAGAAGAAGAAGAATAAGAAGAAGAAGAAGAAGAAGAAGAAGAAGAAGAAGAAGAAGAAGAAGAAGAGGAAGAAGAAAAAGAAAAAGAAGAAGATGAATAATAAGAATAATAATAAGAATAATAATAAGAATAATAATAAGAATAATAATAATAATAAGAAGAAGAATCAGCAGCAAGAGGAGAAGGAGAAGGGGAACAATAAGGAGCAGGAGATAAAGGAGAAGGAGAAGGAGAAGATTAAGGAGCAGGAGATAAAGGAGGAGGAGAAGAAGAAGGAGGGGTAGGAAAATGAGGTAATGCGGATGGGGAACGGAGGAGGAGGCAGAGGAAACAGAGGAGCTAAAGGAGAAAAAAGACCGAGGAAAGTAACGTTTGCATAGTCACATTTCTAAGAGCGTTCATTTAATTGACTTTTTGTCTCTGTTGAACTTCACAGGGTCGATGTCCAGGAATGACTGAACACCCTTGTCAGGCTGACAACAACTGAACAGCAGCAACATGTGCCATCTCCATTGTAAATCTGACTGACCGAC